TAGTGTCCATTTTATTCTTAATCATTTTTATGTAAATTTAAAAATAACAAGTTATTTGATTACTATCAAACATCAGTTTTGCTGAAGAACGACTTAATTTCGCTGTTTGTAGCTTAGAGCATATACTATTTATCATTTACTAGTACGCATTCCTCAGGAAGCACACCAGAGAAAGAAAGAAATAATTCGGGTACTATCTTTTTCTCTCGCGCAAACACGATTAGTTGACGCGCCTGCGTCTCTACTGTTAGGGCGGTATTCAGAGTCGTTGCTTATTCTTAAGATCGTCCAAGCATTTGCTATCCCTGTCCATCCCATATTTCCAGTCCCTGTCTTGTACAGAAAACAAGGACTTAAACAAACGCTTAAGACGATATTAAGAATAAGCAACGACTCTGAATATCGGCCGTAGGGTACCCAAACTATTGCTCTCTCTCACCGTTGTCTACACTTTTCCACTAGACGTGCTTCCTCCATGTAGTATATGTTCTAAGGTTTGTATATTTCCAACAGGAAATCTTTCAAAACTTGGAGTAGAATTTTTACAGCTTGTACCCGCAGACTGATATATGCATGAGTCATGTCATTTATTACGATGTCGTTATGACTATCAGTCATTCGATGTATTATAGTGTAAGATCGAGTGTATTCTATTGTCTATCACAAGCTGTGGAATACTATGAGAGGAAGGCCCGCACGGTCATACTGACAGGTTTTCTGCATACTGCACAAGTCGTCATGCCAGGAGCACATTTAACACAAGCAACCATATGTCCACATGGTAAAAATACTACTCCCAATTCTGCATTATAACAAATTTTACACATCCTCGCGTCATCCGTGGATTTGCTGTTACTACTTGATGCCTCTTTAGTTGCCAACATTTCTCCAACAGCATTTGCAGGCTCTGTACAACTTCCAATACTTTCTATTCCACTATCCTGTGAACCTGATGATCCAGGATTACTCGTAGTTTCATCTTTCTCCGCGGGATCGACAGATTGTACTTTCGTGATGAAACTGGGTAGATTCATTTGCATTGTTTCCTGAAAAAATATAATTAATTAAATTAACTGTATATATTAACTATGTATATT